TCATTTATGTTACCAGGAACCCTAAGGATGTTATGGTTTCTTACTACCACTTCTCCAAATACATGACCACACTGGAGCAAATACCAGATTTTAACCTTTTCATGGAGAGATTTTTAGCTGGCAAAGGTAGGATATCTTTTTTACTAAAGAGCCCAAATCCTACACCATGACCTCAGCTTGAACGGGGATGAATTATACCTATAAGTATCAATTACCAGAATCCTCAGCCATGCTGTAGCCTGAATCCAAAGCTGCTGAGGCTGTCTGAGCTTGACACCATCTTCTGATGAAGGCTGGTCCAATGGGTGTAGCATAGTCATGGCTTTGCTGCTCCCCAGCAACATGCAAGCTGCTGCTTTAATCTGCATTGGATGGTCATTCTGAAAATAATAACCACTATGACTGGAAATCTCTTAATGCTTTATCCAGTTGGATAGTGGGGCTGAGCCCATAAGAATAGACAGTGTCCAGCAAAGACAGAGAAGTAGCTTTTTGATTCTGCCAAACTGGGTTCAGATTGCCAGAAACAAAAGGGGAGTTGCCACGTTAGCTCGGTGATGGTCACAAAGACTGTGAGCATGCTTTCCTCAAATTGTCAAAATATTATTTGAAAAAACACTTCTTGTGTTTTTTTAATTTTTTTTTTTTAATTTTCAAAATTTAAAAAACATTTCTTGTTTTATCAACTTCCCTTTCTAAGTACTTGGCAGTTTGTGGGTGGATCACGTTGCTGGCTGGTACAGTCATGCAGAGGATTTCAATATACTCTTCCTTACCTATGAAGAAATGAAAAAGGTGAGGTCCATTCGTATCCCTGTATTCAAGATATTCTCTGCCTGTATTGAGTGCCTTTTCAGACGGGTCTTTATAATTACTCTTTATATTGGAAAGTGCTTAATCTGCTGGGGAGTAGGTTCAAATTGAGGCTTCTGAAAAGGGTACGTCATTTGCCTCCTTGGTTCGAGATCTCATCAATTACTCAACAACAATTAGGTAAAACACTTTGCAATATGAGAGAAGTTATCTTCACTGCCACCCCAAAGAAACCCTTTTCTGAAATAGTACAGCACAAGACTTTTGCAAGTATCTTCAACAGGAATGTGGTAGTCATAAGCAGAGAGGTGCTGCAGAGGCAGGGCTTTAAAGTTCTTGAGGAGCTCCCAAATTGCTCACCAGAAGTTTCCTGCTTGGTGGCTGCCCACACTTTTGTGCACCGTCTCGCTTCTTCCAGGTGGCTGCCCTTCTCCTCATGGGCAAACCACAGAGTGCCCTAGCCAATCTCGCTTCTCCCAGGTGGCTGCCCTTCTCCTCATGGGCAAGCCACAGAGTGCCCTAGCCAAGGCAGCGCAGTCCATGTCTCGTGCCACTGCGCAGGTCCCTCAGCCTTCAGAGCCTGAGGTTGCTCAGGTCGAGTCCCTCACTCGGACAAGACAACTGACAAGAACCCCACGGGTTGAGCGCCTTCACGGTGACAGGCACCATTCCAGGGCTGACTTTGCCAGGGCATCAAACAGGAGACGCAGAGCGGGTTTGCAGCGTGGGGAGCAGAACGCAGAATTCCCCATCTCCAAGGGCACAGTGCTGCAGTGAGCTACAGCGTCACTGCTCTCCAGTAGTCAACTGATGCAAGCGAGTCTCTGCTCACATAAAAATGATGGTCAGTTTTGCAATCAAATGTATGTCCTCTATTATCCCATGTTCCACTACTTGCGCCATCAAGAATCTTCAAAGTCACATTATTGCAGGATCTCAGAAGTGCGGTGCTGAAGATCTGCAAGTTCCTAGGCAAGAAGCTGAGCGACGAGGATGTGGACAGTGTTGTGAGACAGGCTACGTTTGAGAACATGAGAAAAGATCCCAGGGCAAACTATGAGAACCTGCCAGATGACATCGTAGCAAAAGACAAGGGTAGTTTTCTACGAAAAGGTAAAGTGGAAGCAGTCCAACACAACAACTATTTGATCCCACACTTCTTGGTATGAGACGAAACTAAGGGTCCTGGTCTCAGCTGCAATGCCCCAGTTGCAGGGGTAGAGTTCAGGTTAGTGGAAAATTAAATTTATAAGAACAGGTTTATTGCTGTGGCGTCAGTAATTTTACCATATTTTCCTGACAATAATAAAAAGGTTATGTTTTACTGACTGCAATGCCACTTGTAACATGCCTGTCAGATACAGGAAAGAATATAAGGGTTGTACCGAGACAGGGGTAACACAGTAATTTTTTCAGCTGTTTCTTACTTTTCAAGGCTAGTGTCACATTAATTAGGGGAGCATAGACCTCCTTGAACAGCCACCCTCCAAGTCCATACATGACATCCCTGGGCTCCTGGGCATTGTTAAGATGTCCTCACGCTCAGTGTTGGAGGAAGCTTGCAGAAGGAAACCTCCAGGGATTAGAGTGTTCTGCATCCACAGAAATAACAAGAGGTGTTGCTTTTAATGATTTCCTCTTTGATCTCAAAGGAATCAGTAAAACACCAGAAGAAACGAGTCAAATAACTTCATGAGGACTCAGGATTACAGGTCTGTGCTGTGTTTTGTTCACAGCACCTAGATTTGCAAGCAAGTCCTCAAAAGAGCACACAGAGCCTCACTCAGCATGCCAGTGACAGGGAAGTGCCGAGGAAGCCGGGAATACTTCCCCAGAGTAGCACGCACCGTTTGCAGCGGGCTTCAGAGAGGTACATGTTCTGCTTCTCACCTCCATTTGCTGCCTCTTTCCTCAGGCACTGTTGGAGACTGGAAAAACATCATGACGGTGGCACAGAATGAAAGGTTTGACAAAGTTCTGGGAGACAAAATGAAGACCCTGCCTATCAGATTCGTCTGGGATATTAACGATGAAGTGTAGGCTGGTTTGGAGTTTCCTCATCCTTTGGTCTTTATGCTGGATGGACATATCTGAAGTTCTGGAAGAAGAAAAGACATCCATTTTCAGCTCTGTTATACAAACAATCGCAATGACAACTCAGTCACAAAATGTGACTTGTCTGAGGAAGCTATTCAATTCCCCCAGCTTCCTGTTTGTAATTTTATAAGGTAGCTTCATTAGCTTTCTTGGTAAACTGCCTTCCTTGCTTCAGGTTTGCTTTTACTTTCATTGGCTTTAATAATACCCGATTTGTAGACAACCAAGGGAGGATAGATTGATGTTGCTAAAAACTTCCTAAAAAGTCTTCCACTTACGCATTTTGTGAGGCTCCTTTTGGTAGAACCTTCAATGTCCAGACTGGAAGTAAGACTGGCCAGCTGTGGTATGGATACACTTTGTTTGTGCCTGTCATCTCTTATCACTGGGCACCACCGAACAAAGACTGTTCTCATCTACCTGGCACCCTACTTTTAAGTATTTATAAGCATTAATAAGATCCCCCCTCAGTCTTCTTTTCTCTAGACTAAAAAGACCCAAGTCCCTCAGTCTTTCCTCGTAAGAAAGATGCTCCAATCCTTTAATCAGCTTAGTAGCCCTTTGCTGGACTCTCTCCTTCCTGAACCGGGGAGCCCGGAAGTGGACACTACTCCAGATGCGGCCTCACCAGGGCAGAGTAGAGGGGGAGGACGCCCTCCCTCCACCTGCTGGCCACACTCTTCTTGGTGCGCCCGAGGATGCCTTTCGCCTTCTTGGACGCCAGGGCACATTGCTGGCTCATGGTCATCCTGTTGTCCACCAGGAGTCCCAGGTCCCTTTCCACAGAGCTGGTCAGTACTGAAAACTTGCTTTCAGTTACCATAAATCAAAACTTATTTTTTCTCCCCCTCCCATAATTATTTCTATGAAAAAAGCAACAACATTTTGTTTTTTGCAAATTATGATTTCAGTTAAATATTGCATAAACTAAAGTTTTGCTCAATTTTTTCATTGTGACATGGATTTCACGTGAAGCTTTTCATGCTTTGCTGCACAAAGTACAAATAAAACAGTGAATTCATCTTTATGAGACTGTGAAGACAATTCACTTACAATAAGGTAGAGCAATTTAATTTCTCTTTTACATTTAAATGCAGAATGTGTTGGATTCAATACTACCATTTCACTTAATTCTCTACTTCTCATCTCTTTAACTATAAAAAGTATATATATTTCTTCCTGTGTGGGTGTGTGTATAAAGAAACATATTCACTACCTAAATTACACCTATGCCAGAATACGATATATTACTCCATCAAAGAAAGGACTAGTGCGTAGAAAGTGAAATTATCCTCACATGTCAGCATAAGCTCTCTCAGATATAGCTGGACCCTCAAACTAGTTTTCTACTCTATCAATTTGTATGTCATTAAAAATATCTGAAAGTATCTCTTATACAAATTTAAGAGCTCCAATAATAACACGTGCAAGGAGAGCATTGCATCATAGTTTTTTCTCCCTCTAGGTTTGGGTTTCTTTGTGTGTACAGGACTTGTTTTTACTTTCTTCCCACACTGTTCTCTACTTCCCTGAGTGTGTGTAACTTAGCCCTAGAATCCCATACAATGCTGCATAAGCTAGAAAGGATCTGGGTCCTTGCCCTATAGGTAAATGGATGTAACACATATGCTGGCCTTTTAAAGGAATATAATACTAATGTTTACTAACATATAATACATAATAACCATACTGCCAGAATCAGATGATGTTCACTTAAGAGTTTAACAAGAACTCAAGGCAAGAAAAAATTAATACTAATGGGGATATACAACCTCTCACTGAAAATCACTTGATACCTGTGGACTGAAGGGAGACAAATGTGGATGTTACTTTTATAAAGGGGTTCCAAAAGGATTTAAGGAACTTCAGACTTGTTAATAGGTATTAGAAAGGGTAAATAAAAAAGAAAGAAGAAGAAAAAAAGAAAAAAAAAAAGAATTATGGACATCTGGATGAATACTGTCTACTTGGGAAGGGACAACAGTCCTTCCTCTTACAGAAGCAAAGGTTGCAAGACTTTTGGAGTCGCTTGACTTTTAGCACATTTGGATAAGGATTTTGATAAAGTTCCTTAACTCAGGCTTTTAAGAAAACTAAGCAGCCACTTCACGGATCATTTAAAGATATAAATTAAGAGTGTAGGAGTAAAGAGCTATTTCACACAACAGAGAGCAGTCACCAGTGGAATTCCTCCAGAGCTTGTGCTCACACCTGTGTTGTCTGATGTCCTCATGTTGTCTGATGTCCTCATAAATAACCTGGCAAGAGGCAAGCAGCGAGGTGAGCTGGTTTGCTGATGAAGTTATTTAAGAAAGTAAAGACAACTGCAAAGACTTGTTGAAGGATCTTAGGGGCCCAAATGATGAAACAACAAAATTAGATGTGAGTCACTATATAAAGTTTCACATGGGGAAAAATAAATCTACTTCCACAAATAAAACAATGAACTCTAGTTTACCATCAGGAGGAACAGGTTGATATAAGAAGAGTTTGATCAGAAGACATACAGGTATTTGGTAGCAAAAGAGTCAACTTGCAAGGAACTGAGGGGCCTAAAAAAAAAAAAGAAAAAAAAAAAAACGAAAATACTCAATCAGTAATATTTCAGGCCCTGTCAGATTTTGCAACACAAGCGAGCACTCGCGTGACAGCTCCTTCTCTCAGGATCAGGCACAGTGTACTCTCTGCTCCAACAAGCTTTGAATTTATTTCAGCAACCACACAGTTTAAAAACTGGAGGTAGCCTGATGGTTAGAAGTCTCCTAGGAGAAAGACTGAGGTTGATTCCCCCCACAGGAATCGTACTTCAAGCTCACTTTACTAGATTAATATGAATTAGACTTCATTCTAATCCAAAGCGCATAAGTAAACTTTAAGTATCTTAGTTCTTCCACCAAAAAAAATTCTCAGTCCATTTCAGCAAACTAAAACACGCAAACATATCCGAGCTTACTTGCCATCAAATTCCCTTTTATTTCACAGATATTAATTGCTAACAAAAGTAAACAAATGTGAGGTTCAGACCGAGTCACTGCAAGTTGTTCAAAGACTGGGAGGAACAGACTTTACACAATATTTTTTCACTTCAACCCTTAGTTTTTCCTCTGATTTGAAAAATAAGACATAAGAGTGAAAACGTATCTTCACTTTGACATCGTTTTAGCATTTTTAAGCTATATATCCTCTGCATGAATACCAATAAATACGTTAATATGAAAGCAGACTAGAAAATCTTATTAATCTAGAAATACCATTAACATGAAACTTTTTTTCATATGTAGATGATTCTTGTCAGTGACCCACCTGGAAAATTTTCTCAGATACCACATTTTGCACAGACTACATGGCATTCTTGGATTCAGTCCAGATTTAAAGAGAACTAATTCACTCCTCTTATGAAAAAGTGCCAGTTGTAAACAAACCGAGCGGAAAATGGAAAGGAGCCTTAGGAGTTAAACATTTTTTATGCAGCTGAATTGAGACATACCAGAAGTAAATTAAGTTCAGTGCTGAAGAGCATTTTAAAGCATCCTAACAATTCCACAGGAAGCTGAATGTAGTCACTATGAAGCTTTCAATCCAACCGCATCTTTGGAAAAGTCAGATTTTATATCACATTAGCTCACACTTTTTTAATGTATTTGGTAACTCTGCTGGAACACAGATCCGACTTATTGCTTTGAAACCTACAACATTCTCGCTGAAACCTAGATGCTTGTCTAGAGTTCTTAGTAGCCAATATTAAAAAGATCAAATAGAGGACAGTAGGAACAAAGGCACATGGTTAATTTATAAAAGTATTTACAGGGTACTTGAACATTTATTTCTGTCTATTAGAAACTCATTCATCTTGACTACAAAAAGAAAAGACTACTGAAACTTGTTAAAGATCATCTCAAATATGTTCTCAAGCAATATGAGCAGAGAAACCTTTACACCATTAAATTATTTCGGGAATTAAATTTCTTATTTTGAATAGAATTTCCAGATATTAGAGGAATAATAAATTTACAAACTTTAAGCACTGTGATACTTCTGTGCAATCCTCTTCAAAGGTTGAAGCTGGCACAGTTAAGGCAGTCTACTAACAGTATTTTAAAATTCAGCACATGGCATCCAATCATTGAGGTGCCTGGTGGTTCTCTACTGAGAGCTGTCTTCCGAAACCCTCATTCATACCGTCCATCCTTCCAGCTGATGCAGTTTTAAACACAGCATGTTTAAATACCACAGTCTTCACAGTGTTTTGGGTGTTTTTGGAGAGGGAAAGGGAGAATCATAGAATGGTTTGGGTTGGAAGTGACCTTGAAGATCATCAAGTTCCAAGCCCCCTGCCATAGACAGGGACACCTCCCACTAGACCAGGGTGCTCAAAGTTCCATCCAGCCTGGCCTTGAACACCTCCAGGGATGGGGCCTCAACAACTTATCTGGGCAACCTGTTCCAGTGCCTTACCACCCTCAGAGTAAAAAATTTCTTCCCCATATTGAATCTAAATTTACCTTCTCCCAGTTTATATCCATTCCCCCTTGTCCTGTCACTACATGCCCTAGTAAAAAGTCCTTCCCCATCTTTCCTGTAGGCCCCCTTTAGGTACTGGAAGGCCACTATAAGGTCTCCCCGGAGCCTCCTCTTCCCCAGGCTGAACAACCCCAACTCTCTCAGCCTGTCTTCACAAGAGAGGTGCTCCAGCCCTCGGATCATCTTCGTGGCCTTCCTCTGGACCAACTCCAACAGGTCCATGTCCTTCTTACATTGGGGGCTGCAGAGCTGGACGCAGGAGTCTAACATCAAGCTGCTAGCTCCATAAGCAACTCTGCAGGACGGTTAACATCTATGAGTTGATGTGTAGCTTTACTGTATGTTGTGGGCTTTTATGGGCTGCCAACAAGATGCTTCTAAAATAACACCCATTACATTCAAACCTATAAGCACTCTATAAA